GATAACAACAATTCTTAAATCATTCATACTATTTAATATTTGCCAAATAGTCATTAGAGCATTACCAATAGGCCCCAAAACACCAATCACGACTGTACCATTGTGCCTGTTGAGCTCTAAACAGGGAATTAATCACTGTTTTAAAACCATGACCATGTCAATCGGATTAAAAATTGGCTATGTATATATGAAAAGAGAAATCATTACCATTTTGATTTAAAGTTATTGTTTCAACTCTTCTAGAAATGGACCATTCCTAGGTTCCTAGGAGAAGATATTTCGAAACATCATTGTGCATTATTGTAGATAAATCTACTTATTGAGGTTCTGAGGTCAAACGGAGAAAATCTTTATTTAATGAACCTTAATAGTTTTGACTTCCTACTTTGGTATAATCAACATATTTCCATTTGTTGGGAACGGTCGATAGCATTTCCTTGTTATTGGTGTTCAAGGTAGTGTTAAGTACGTATTCACGAATCATCCGTTCTTTCAATTGATGGGAATAACCAACAGGTTCATTTCATTATGTCAACAAGACTATAACTACATGTGGTACTCTAACGGCCTTACTTTCTGACGTTCTTTACTGTTACTTACCTAGTTCTAAATTTCTAAATTTCTCTATTCTACCTATTTTTGATCTCATTGTCTGTTTTATTTCTTTGTTCCTACAGCTCTTCTACCTAGTCGCGAAACACTATCGTTGGATGCAGACACACAGCAAGGAGCTCGCTAAGGACTATCTACGAGCCCTTATGGAAATATATACAACCTTCCTTCATGAACGCGCTGTAAGCACACAGGCTTTAAATTAAAAAAACTGCCTTTGCAAGTTTTCCATGAATCACTGTGAATTGGTGACTCATATGATTATCCCATTTTAACAACCGTTTTAGCCTCTCTATCTGAAATTGGACAGCAGAGTCATTCAACAAATGGAGGATTCTGTGTCTACGGGAGATAGTGCTTCAATCCTAGACGGCTGTTGTGAGGCCGTACTTCCACAAATTCAGCTTCAAGTCGATAAACTTAGCAAGGACATACGGCATGGTACGTGCGACTTACTTACACTTTCATGGAATGCATGTTTTAATCAACGTCTCAATCAGAATTTCCTCTCGTTGTATTTACATAATGGCGACCACACAAAAATGTGAGAGAAAAACCATTTGATGTATCCATGTGCAGAAGAACACAGTTGATGATTCATTCTATGTATGCACTCATTCTTTTACCTGCATTGGTGCTACAGAATTTAGATACAATGGCATTTGCCGGCAAAGTTATAATGTCGTAACTAAGTAAGAAATCGATAAGAAAAATCTAGACTTACCCCTCTTTAGCGTTTCCATTTCAATGGTTTCAATTAGACTACATTTGTTTCACTAACCTAAACTGTGATATTTGTCTAGGACTTGATACTTGGAAGCCACCTGAATGCGTTGACCTCACTCTCCCTATGTCTCGAGATGAGGAGTTGAGTATCTACGAGACAATAGTCAGTCCTCGTGTGAGCGAACTCCAGCGTATCGTGGCTGGCTTGAATCCCGTTCAATTTCCCCAAACATCATCCCCAGCAACAATGTCTTTCATTTCCGCGACGTCGGCAATCATCGGTTGGCTATCGGCTACTTCAGCAGCCACTGAAATACCCCGTGAGCAGTTGGCCTTGGCTCTCTGCGCCTCGCTTGTATCTGCGTACAGATTTTTCTCCTCATCGATTAAAAATGTCACTCCCACTTCTTCTGGATCTCCCTCTCAACCTGAAACCCCCGCAGATGATTTATTTATGGCCTCTGCACCAACTTGCCCCAATACACCGGCTCCTCCTCAGCATTCCTTCAGGAAAACACTCTTTGCCAAGTAAATTCAATTAAATTCGTGCTTGAACCTTATTTGACAAGCATTATATATTGCTTGAATTTTTAACTGAAAGAAAGTTTCTCTTCGGCAAATAACGTGATGCCTTAGAAAGGAATTCGATTTTTCTTGTTAAATAACCGACAATTGACACAGTGGTTATAAATCTAATACATTTATTTATATTAAATGGCAGGCGTTTTGATAGTTATCATTACTCCTTTAGCTGACTTCGGGCTCCATAGAGAGGAGGAGAAACATCAAAGCGACAAAAAGATGAGACAGATTTAAAGGAAACAGACAGACACAAAGGCAGAGAATAGGTAAAATAATTACTGTGGAAGGGGTCGAATATGACATGCAGTGGGGTCATGGTAGTTTGAAGTCAGAAGTCAATTGCCAGTTAATAGACTATTTTGCCGTATGAGTATATGTTGCCCATGGTGCACCACGTGGAGGTAAGTCCACCGCACACCCCTTATTACAGAATAGAAAAGTCATTAATTTACATAAATAATCCGAAAATATCAGAGAAGGAGACCAAGCACAAGGAAATATTCGTTATCTTTTACATGCTCCTCACAAGGTGTTTAAAGAAGGATAAAAATAAACGTAGCTAATGGAAAAATAGACTGCATGGAATGCCGCAGACGCGTCATTGGATGGATAGTGGCGTGACGTACGATGCATTGAAAAGAAATGAGTTCAAAGTAGGTTCCCATCAATGGAGTACGGGAAGTGTACAAATGTAAAGTTCATAGCTGAAATATGAAAATTTCCATTGGGGCATAGGAAATGTTCCAGTGGTATTTACCGTTAAACGCGACAGCAATTCCAGAATATAATTCTCCACTCGAAACTGAAGGCACGATTTTTGCTTTTCTTGAATTCTGTCCATGTATCGACCAAATAAATTTTGAATTTAGCAAAATCAACACAGCATTTTCGCGTCATAGTTCCATTAATCGCAAATTTTACTAGAGTATATTAAATGGCCATCAACTAGACTTCGATTCAAAGTTCAAATCAGTCAGAATTGCTCAAATCTATTAAGTGCCAAAGGCAATATATCCTGAATCTAGACCATAATTTCAAGTATGTATACTAGAGTAGAATTCATTTCTTAAACCAACAGTGCAAACACTTGTACGATAGAATAATATTTAACTAAGTACTTATTTGAGACACAATAAATAATTAATGCAAATTTAAATATTCCGGAAATGAAAGAAAAAATTATATATTTCAAAAATTTGAAAGACGTTAGGGAGGGGGCATGACATCAAACGTAATAACTTGATTACGAAGTTCTGTATACATGAGTAGAAATAGGGGTTAATTAATCATAACGTAGCAATTCATAATTTAAAAAACAAAGTTACGCAGTTTATAACCTATTATAATTTCCATTTCTTAAGTTTGCAAACTATGATTGATACAAGCGTGGTGTTCAGAAATATCGGACGATGAAATTCGATCATTGAAAAGGCCCTTCCCGTCCGAGAAATAATGTCGACCTTGTGGAGTGGACAACGCTATCATGGTTGAACAAAGAAATTTCATGCGTTTGCAGACAGACTCGAAGATGCGACCGTGATACTTGTTGCGTATGGTGTAAGTGCGACCAGCCACCAAGCATTAGTTCCTGCAGTGTCTAACAGACCCTTCATTGTATTTTAATGACTAAGCTCTGTGACAGACACACATCCCAAATGGGCGAACTTCATACCATTAGCCTGTTTTCCCTATATGGAGATTACTGAGGAATAGACAGGACTTACCCATGCAGTAGTGCGCAACAACCTTACACGACCGAATTTCATCTGCCAGCACCATTTTTCCCAAAACATATTGGATTCTATTTAGCATTGGATTTAACACCTTGGCCAAATGAACAACTGGAATATGAGCACCCCATGGTAGCATTCTAAAAGTTTATTACCCTTAACATGCGTGCTATCTGTTACGAACTTGAGCAGAATAGAGGAAATAATGAAATAAAGTGAGCTTATATCTCATTTACACACACACACACACACACACACAGACACACACACACACACACACACACATATATATATA